TAGAATTCTATCTCTTGTAGATAGAAAAGATGGGAGAAACCTTCTTTTCCCCTAATGTTTCCAAGTCTCTGAAGAAATTACTGTAAGATATTCAAGCTTTGCCACCTGTTTCTCTCCCCCCACTAATGCCTCACTTTACTTTATTAAAAGTTATCCATCCCTAAATTTTGGACAACCTTGCCCATATAACTCCCCAAACTTGTCTATTATTAAACACCATTTTTCCCATTAAAAAAAGTTAGCTTGGGGTGCCTGGGTGGCTCAGTCAGTAGAGCATGCAAGATATCAGGGTTGTAAGTTCAAGCACTACCTTGGGGGTAGAGATTACTTAAAATATCTTTTAAAAAAAGAGTTAGCTTACTCATCCAGGAAGCCCATTTATTCCATAATACAAACATCCAAACCATAGAGTACCTTAAAGGGTATCTAGTCCCAACAGACAAATGACGTTTGAATTCATTTAAAGCATCCATTCTAATAGCAAAAACTTACAAGGCATTACCATGAGCTGAGCACCATTTGATGAATTTTAGATATATTAAATCACTTAGGCATCACAACAATTCTATGAGATGGATTATGTTATTGTTTTCATTTTAGTGACAGAGCCAAAGGCATAGAGTGACCAAACAATCTACCCACTATTGCAAGAGTTGAAATGGCAGAGCAAGAGTGAACTCGGGTAGTCCAGCTCAGGGATCCATGCTCTTAGCCACGATGCTACACTGCCTTGACTCTCCATATCTGTGGAACTCTCAGACTGGAAATTCCCTGTTCAGTCAGCATATCGATCAAAAAATACAGAAAAATAAAACATTCGTGGCAAAAGGTTAACTGTGGGTGTCTAGGTGACTAAAGGGTATACTGGAGTTCTTGTGCCATTCTTGCAACTTTCCTCTAAGTTCAAAATTTTTTCAAAATTAAAAGTTGAGGGGTGCCTGGGTGGCTCAGTCAATTAAACTTCCGGCTCTTGGTTTCAGCTTGGGTCATAATCTCACGGTTCGTGAGTTCGAGCCCGGCATCAGGCTCTGTGCTGACAGTGCAGATGCTGCTTAGGATTCTCTCTCTTCCTCTCTCTGCCCCTCCCCCAATTGTTCTGTCTCTCTCTCAAAAATAAATAAACTTAAAAAAAATTAAAAGTTCAAGGCTGCTCTTATCATGTAATGGGACATAGTTTGCCAAAGTGATGACCAAATTACCTGCTGGCCAGCAAAGAAGGCTTTAAGAAAAAACTCTGGATCCTTATAATGTCCCCACTAAATGTCTGATCTAAATTGCCCACGCCACTCCCGTCAGACTGAAGGACTCACTGCAGAGGAAGTGGCCCTAAAAATGGAGAACACTGTCCCTGAACCATAACAGTAACTGTGGGCTCCATTCTCAGTGCTTAATATTTAATAACCAATGACACTCAATTCCAAATAGAATGGAGTGCGGACATTTACTCCCCAAAATATATTATATAATATAACCAAATACAAATCAATCCATTCCCTTATTTCCCCCTCGTTAGTTCTAACCAGAATTATCAGTTCTCTCCTTACTATGTCCCTGCCAGGCCGTATCGATGCTCTCTAGTGGAAACCTTGCAGTCAGCTGCATTTTAGGCAGAGCAATTCCTATTTTAGCTTTTCATGGCATTTTTTTAATCCTTGTGCAATGGAAGAGAACATGAAATCACATACTGATAACCTAGGAATCATTCCTTTAGGCAGTTTCCTGTTACTATTGTTCTACATTACCCATGAAAATTAATTTGGGTTCTCTTAAATTCATACTTCCCGATACACTTGAACAAAATCTGAAGTTTCATAGCAGAAGCACTGACAAAAAAATACAATGATATCCAAACACACTTCTTTGGAACACTGATGTTCAAAACTATCATCCCAAGCTTTTTAGGTTTTCATTAACTAGTATAAAAAACACTCAATTCTAACATGTCGGAAAGCAATACTTCCCTGCTGCTGCCCTAGTAAGTTCCAGGTAAGAAGTTCCTCTCCCCTAGATAGTGGCTATATTTAAGGTTTCAGTGGTTAAAGTTAATAGCCACCTAGATTATGAAATGTTATGATCCTTACTTTTTACACTACCCTTTACACTACTTTTTACACTACACTGTCTGGAACCTGACAGCTCATCCAGAAAAGAGGTGTTTTATTTTTTTGATTAAAATGTTAAATCTTTGATTATTTCCAGAAACTTCACTTAAAAATGGGAGGTAGGAAATGTGTAAAAGGTTGAAACTACTGACTACAGCAGAAGCTTCTAAATCACACTGTGATTTTGTTAATCGAAGTTGTTCTGCTCCCCACCTTGACTTCCTTTCAGTCTTCCCCACAAAATCCCTCAGTGATTCCCATCAAATGCCTTATTTAACCAAGGCTTCCTGACACTGCGATATATACTTGACACTAAGGCAGGTGCTAAGAGGACATAGAAGACAGTCTCACAGTCTAGAAGGAAAGACAAAAAGAAGTAGACAACTTTAACACAGTGTGATAAACATTATTTGAGCTACTGTTACAAGCCTCTCCCTGCAAGTTGCCAATATCATTCCAAACCACATGCCTGCAAATTCTCTAGAAGAAGAAATCTCACTGATAATCAAAGTTGGAGGCATTTCCGGTAAGTTTAAGAAGTCAGGATAGCAATAATAGGCATATGGGAAGATCCCAGTTTTAAAGACTGAGATAATATCCATTCTAGCATATTCAGGTCCCTGTGGGGCTTATGGAAAATGGATTTTTTACATATATTATTCCAACATGCAGGGGGTTGGAATTCTAAGTGGGGGACTGGCACTCTGCAAAATTAAACACTCCTGCCTCTAGCAAGGGCTCATTTTAGTTCTGGCTCTTGTTTCTATTCTCTCTGGAGAATGGTAGTATATTAGTGGCTAAGTCCATGGACTTTGTAGTTAGTCAGAGGAGGGTTTAATCCCGGCCTTGGCCACTTACAGGCAGTGAGATTTTTCAGCAAACCTCACGGGCAGTGAGATTTTCAGCAAACCTCAGCTTCTCTGAGGCTCACAGTCCTTAAAAAACAACAACAAAAACAGTGGTGGGAAATTAAGTAAATAGTTTATGCAAAATGCTTAGCATGCAGTAAAAAAACAACAAGGGGGTGGGGAGAAAGGGCTGGAAGTAACAGGGGACCACTGGGTACTAAAATAGAAAGCAATAAATTATACAGAGCTAATCATTTTGTTATTCCAATTGAATAGTGATCTATGCTTAATTTATTTGCATCCGTCCTGTCTCACCCATCCCTAGAGAGCAACTACCTCATAAACCTAAGGCTGAATTGCAATTACTCCGGCTTTTTTTTTTTTTTAAATCTACAATAGTCCCAATTTTTATACTGAGAGAACATATCCTAGCCCCTGCGACTCTCCATAATTTGGAACCCTAAGAAAGGCAGTAGAACTCTAACCACCCAAAAGAGACACCCACCTGGAACATACAGACCATACCTTAGTCATATAACAAAGAAACCAACAGTATATAGGAGTCAAACAAAAAAAGAAAAATCTGCACAACTCATACTTACTCGTCATTTTTTATCCCAAAACCACAATGAGGAGCAAAACAAAAAATTAAAGATTTACTTATTTGCACCCCTTATATTTCCTGAAAGAACTAGTAGGGGTGAGGTAAGAGACAAATCTTCCATCTTATCAACCAAAAGGCTCTATAGTACACACCAGTCAAAACAAAGCCTCAGTCGTGGAAATAAATATTCCCGGACGCTAGTTACTAGGATGCTCACTGCAGCTACACAAAGCCCAGTATTTAAAGCTGGACCCAAATCACCACCACTCAGTCATCCGGAACCTATTTTCAAACTGCCTTTGTACTCCTTCTTCAGATTCCCTCATCCCTCCCCCTAAAGGTTGAGTGGGAAACCGACACTCTGGCAGCAACACGACCAACCCTCCAAACATCCACCAAGAAACCTCCCCTAGGCTGGAGTCAAGGCAGAGAAAACGTTTAATATTTTCCAAATTTTCTCTCAAGCAAGAAGTATAGTCGAACAGACTGTACACATTATCTTTTTTCTTTGTTACTGCACTTGCTATAATTATGAGATCCAGACATCAAAATTTGACTGTAGCCCTCGCATAGATTAGATTAAAAGAAGAAACAAAGTTGTTTCTTCGGAAGCCACAACCTCTCCAGTATGAAATCATCCTTCAAGAAATACTCTCATTCTGGAAAAGAAATTCAAGGAAGTGTTGTAGTCTAAAAAGAATGGGAGGGGGGCACGAAATCAGGGGACTATTAAAGATACATACCAGTTTAAAGCTAAAGGGCAGCTTATCTATTAAGGCCTATCTTGTTACAATCAGGGCAGTATCTATTCCAGCTCTAATTTTCAGACCGATGCGCATTTTCAAAGAGAGAAAGAAGAGAATACTCAGTTTTCAGCTCCTGATGAGTTGGCTATATAATTATCTAGAAACGGTATTTTTGGAAGAATGTATTTGCAAAAAGAAAAGACGAATCTTACGATTAAGTATATGAAAGCAGTCACGGGCCTTCGACTCTTACATATTTTTTATTTCATGGCAAATTGACCAAACCAAAAACTGACCTCCAAAAAACGACTTTCAGTTGGGTTAAAAAATAATTATTCCTGTTGTACTTTCTCAAATGCATTCTCAACACTAAAGTCTGCGTTAAACGTTTTCTCTTAACCTCACCTTATTTGATCCAAGGCCCTTTCAGAAGGCACAAATATTTCCAGGTGTGTTGCCACTTTATTCAGGTGAAGTTAAAAAGCATGATTAGAATTTCCTTATCCCTTTAACCACATACACCAAACGTTATGGTACTTGCAAACTGAACATGTAACACCTCTACAAATCTTTGTCATCAAATGTAGTCTTAGGGAGAAAGAAATGGCAATTTGGTTAACATGGACCCATTTGTTTTCTTTTATAAAGCAAAGTAAGGAGGCTACGTCTCGCAGGAGAATGAGGCTCCCACCCACCGCACCTGGAAAAGTGAAAGAGGGATCCACCCAGGAACAGCAGGGCTGGAACTGAGCTGGGCCGTTCAAACTCTCTGGGGGAAAAAACACCATTTAAGCTGCAAAGCTCCCTACAGCTTTCCACTTCCACAAATCTAATGATAAAGGGGGGGGAAAAGTTTTGAAACACATGAAGAACCATCTGTATAACTAGCTTCCAACCCGGACAAATTCCTTTCCCAACCCACACGCAACATGCCAAAAAACCGAACTTTTGGTTTGGGCTCTGAAAATAGAAGTTTGTTAGCTGAACACCAGAAGAAAACATAAAATTAAACAACATACAAAAATGTAAATTTACATGTAAATGTAAATTTGCTCTCACCCCTCTGGATCTAATCGTCTCCCTATGTTAGAGAGAGCTTACAAGTTTGTTTCTGGGTCTTGAATATTTTACTTTTTAATCTAATAAAATACCAAAATTCCCCCAAAGTAAGTAGAAAGAAAAAATAACAATTGCTTAAAAGTCACCCGTCAGCACAGCAGAAGCTCTCGTTTTTAACTTCCCTCTGGTTACCGTAAGACAAAAATTCGACTTGGCTTATCCTCCTTCACCCGTCTGTACACACATTTTTTAAAAAGGCACACACCTCAAATGTGGACTTCTAAAAACCAGTCCTTTAAGAAAGAAACCCAAGGCTTCGTCAATGTGCTGAGAAAGACAAATCCAGCAGGGTACTTGATTTTTCGCCACTTCTTCCTCCTTTCAGGATCAGGATCTTTCCTGCTCTTCTTTCTCCCTCTCTCTCTCTCCCTCTCTCTCTCTCTCTCTCTCTCTCTCTCCTTTTTTTTTCTCTCAGATCCAACACCTAAAATGGAAGTTGCACCCAGCCAAAGGCTAGGGAGCCTGGGTGGTGACAAACTGATCTGGCAGCCCTACCCCCTCGCTTTCCTAAGTGATGTCAGCCCCTGAGAACTTCCAATAGGAGCCAGGCATAAATCAGGGAGCTGATTTTATCCAATAGGAAACTTTATTATAGGAAATTAAAAAAATAAAAAAGGAGAGAGAGGAGGAGAGAAAGAGACAGGGGGAAGTTTTATATATATATTTATATTTAAAGTGGAGACTACACAATCTCTGAGGAATTACTGCAGAGCTCCAGGGGGGCCGAAGGAACAAGGGCTCCTTAGGATGGCACGCCTAAGCTCCAGTTCTCTTTGATGGTGGGGTTCTTGCTTCCTCTCCCTTCCTTTCCGGGTAGGGAAATAAGAGAAGAGCTGATTTGATTTGCCTGCTGCTATTTGGTTTGTTGCTTTCAACCCCAAAGCATTTTCCCAAAAGAAGACAGGAAGGGAAGGAGAGAAAAATCCTAGAAACAGGACCGCTATGTATTGATTGGATGGTAGGGAATATCTGAGGTAAACTCTCAATTTCGGTGTTTTGGTTTAACTGCATTATAGCTAAGGAGAAAAAAAATAGATGTTGGACTTGTTAACAGTTTTTCGTGTCTATACTTTCAACTGGTAGGAGGCTGTATCCCACTGGGCTGTTAAAGAAAATCACTGTCTTCCCATTTGTCCCCGAATCAAAATAATGTGGGTTTGAGGGGGAGAATAAATGGAATTCAGTAAGAAATATATTTAGAGGAGATAACAGCATGTGTAAGAAAAAGTCTCACTTTAAGAAAATTCAGTTTCTTTGTGCACTTCAAGCTTACGATGATCTAGTTCGTACATTCTCTTTTTACATTTAACCCACATAAAGGATTATACAGGTATTCTTTTTCTGAGCTGCAAATGATCCTTAATATGCTCTTACACTGTTAGGCCATGAAGGACAGACATTGGACTTTTTTTTTTTTTACATGTTTGACAAAGACTAGCATTTTATGGTCATTCAGTGGTTACTAAAGAAAAATGATAATGATGAATTGAAAATTTCCTTTTTTACTCTTACTGAAAAATCTGCCTGTAGACTGCTGCCAAATGAATCTTCATAAAGTTTTCATAATCTAGAGTAATAGTTAAGAGCATAGGTGCTGCAGTCAGACTGCCTGGCTTCAAACCTTCCTTCCCTGCAAGCATACTTAAGTAAATGTATTCCTACGTGACCTTGAACAAATTATATAATCTCTCAGAGCCTCTGTTTCCTTAACTATAAAGAGGAGATAATAACTATATCTCTCACAGTACTGTTGTGAGAATCAAAACACATATAAAGTTCTTAAAACAACATACAGTATATAATATAAACTCACTAAGAATGAGTTATTATTACCAGTATCTACCCTCTCCCAAAACCTTCAGTGGCTCACCATTGCCCGATAATAGCAAACAATGACAGAGCATCTATCATGTGAAAGGCACTTTGCACTCATTATCTCTAACTTCTAAAACACCACCATGGAGATAGTATTACCACCATTTCACAAATGAGGAAATCAAGGTTCAGCAAGCTGAAGAAACTTGCCTGAGTTCGTCTGGCTAAGAAGTGGTCCCCTCATTGATCTGACTCCAAAGCCCATGCTCTTTCCATCACCCTACACCGTGGTCAGGATAAAAGCCAAGTTCCTCATCTGCTTTCAAGGTGCCACGTTTACCCACTCAATACATTAAAGTCACCCTTAGTAACCATAATCTGACCTTTCCTTATCTATTTAAACTGGAATTCTCCTCAGCACGAATGTGCCCTTCTAATCAGGCAATCTAGTCATTATCCACCCCCTCATATCTGGTCTAAAGTGGCCAAAAAAGGATTTCTCTCAGAATGGCCAGAAGACCAAACAGGCATCACAGCACTTGTTTGATGGGCTTTAAACAAACTAACTAGATTGGGAAATTAATACATTAAACAGAGACATGCACGAACTTTAACCCTCATTATCTAGGAACCTTCTCTTACTATCTTATCACATCTTCTACTTCTCTTTCCATCTAGTATTCCTGGTCCTCCATAGCAAGTTCAAAAGCCAAAGATGACTGCCAAAGGAAAACAACCAGCACAAGAAATGTTCGTTGATTAATTCCTAGATCAGAGCCACATTTTAGAATATTCTATGTTTTTCTAGAGATGGATTGGTCTTGTTTCCTTCACATCATCACTAAAAACTTGCAAGTATTTTGCCTTCCTTTAGTGTGTGTGTTTTCCTGTCTCCTTCACCAGAAGATGAGCTCCATGAAGACATGAATGGCATCTTTCTAGCTCATGGTGTACCCCAGAGCTCAACCTAATGTCTCGTATTTAGCAACAGATGAGTGAGTGAATGAAGTCTCTTGGCTTACTAGTTATGTAATCCTGGGCAAGTCATTTTATAGTAACGAATTTGTAGATAACATTTGAAATAAAGTTATATACAAACCAAAAAAGATAACTCAGGGGATGCCTGAGTCAGTAAAGCATGAGACAGGCTCAGTCAGTAAAGCATGGGACTCTTGATCTCAGGATCATGAGTTCAAGCCCACGTTGGGCAGAGAGCCCACTTTAAAAAAAAAAAAAAGATAATTTAGTGATGAAAAAGTTAAAATTTAAATTTATCTGAAATAGTTGTCTCCAAATAAAGCATCACAAGGATCAATACTCACTGAGGGATAAACTCTTTACAGTCAGGTGACCGAAAGCAAAAAGATGAGTTCCACTTGGATTATTCTTAGTCCCTACTGTGAGCCAGGTACCTTCTAGATGTCAAACATAATGAGTAGACCAGTTCCCTGCTCTCAGAAAGCTTACTAGTGGAGGGAGAGACAAGATTAATAAATGTCGGATGTAACACTACGCAGAGATTTAAAACAGACTGATAGGGGCACCTGGGTGACTCAGTTGGTTAAGTGTCTGACTTTATTTCAGATCATGATCTTGCAGTCCAGGAGTTCAAGACCTGCATCGGGCTCTGTGATGACACCTCAGAGCCTGGAGCCTGCTTCAGATTCTGTGTCTCCCTCTGTCTCTGCCTCTCCCCTGCTCATGTTCTGTCTCTCTCTCTCAAAAACGAATAAACATTAAAATTAAAAAAAAAAAAAAAAGACTGATAATAATGACTCGTGGCTTATTCTACCCTGGATGTCAGGGACAAACTCTTCAGAGAGTTTGACATTTAAGTTGAAATCTTTTTTTTTTTTTTAAATTTTTTTCAACATTTATTTATTTTGGGACAGAGAGAGACAGAGCATGAACGGGGGAGGGGCAGAGAGAGAGGGAGACACAGAGTCAGAAACAGGCTCCAGGCTCTGAGCCATCAGCCCAGAGCCTGACGCGGGGCTCGAACTCACGGACCGTGAGATCGTGACCTGGCTGAAGTCGGACGCTTAACCAACTGCGCCACCCAGGCGCCCCTAAGTTGAAATCTTTAAGTTGAAATCTGAAGAAGCAGCTAATCATAAGAACATAGGAGCATTGGTAACTACTAATGCCAAAGTCCTCAAGTGTGAGGCTGAAACATGCTGAATCCAGCAGTGTGTCGAAATGAGGAGGGAGTGATAAGAATATGAAAGATTCTACAGGTTAGAGAAAGGAGTTTGATTTCATTCTTTGTTTAAAATATTTATTTATTTTGAGAAAGAGAGAAAGTGCTCATGCACACAAGTGGGGGAGGGGCAGAGAGGGAAGGAGGGAGAGAATCCCTAGCAGGCCCCACACTGTCAGTGCAGAGCCCAATGCGGGACTCCACCCCATGATCCAGGAGATCAGGACCTGCGCCAAAATCAAGATTCAGAGGTCTAACTGACTGAGCCACCCAGGTGCCCCTTGATTTTATTCCTAGGTAGAGGAAAGCCTGTGAGGGTTTTCAACAGCAGAATGACATACTCTAACTCAGATTTTGAAAAGATCTGGCTGTTTATGTGTCAAATGGATTAGAGAGGGGGTATGGGTGAAAGCAAGGAAATTAGTTTGAAGGTCAAGTTGCAGTAATACAAAGCTGACTACAGTAGTAACAGTGAAAACGGGGAGAAGTTAATGGATTGAGCATATGTTTAGAGATACAAGGTTGTTTTTTATTGCGGAGCTTTTTCTTTCTTTTTTTTTTCTTTCTTTCATTTGTTTTTACCGCATGGAATATTACATTCGGTGTGCTCGGTTTCACAGCTCTCAAAGTTTAACTCCCCCCACCCAAGCCACCAGCACTTACACACAAAGAAAAACAAGATACCATAAAACGTTGAAAGATTAGGGAAGAGCTAGGAAATAATACCGTGTTTAAAAAAGAAATATTAAAAACAAATAAGAAATATTAAAGTCATTATATAGGGCTGAGTTCTGTGCTGTGTTGACTCTACTTCTAAAATAGACTGAAACTATAAATGCCAAGGAGAAGAAATGAAAAAAAATTCAACTCCAAAAAAAAACAAAAAAAAGCCCCTGGCTATCCATACAAAAGAAGAGAAAATATTTTTACTCCTTTCTACCCTCTGGTGGCTACATATTACCATCAAAAGTTTGTCATTTTTGAAGCCCTGAGTAGGATGGCCATTTATCATTCCTTTTAGAAATTCTACTATCACTAGATTTAACTACAATAGTGTTGGATTAAAAAAGCAGAAACCAAGAAGGGAGTCCTCTCCAGTTCTTGAAAATTAATCTAATCCTAGTAACAATAAATTCATGAGGAGGTATAATATTTATATTTTTCTTACAAGCCCACAGGATCACCTCTACTGGTACTCCAGCCACCTACTCAAGTCTTGATTCCACAGTAACAGATATCATAAACAAGCATTGTTCTGCCTTCTCTTTTTTCTTCTTTTTGCTTGCTTGTGTGTCCTCCTTCTGCTAAGTTTTATGTCCTTTCACGAACTGCTTCCTCTTCAAAATATAACTGCAACCTAAAATGTCTTCTGTTCCTTGATCTTTTTTCCGTCTTGAGAGCAGAGGTCTCAAACTAGGAAAATATTACCTGACTTGGAAATCCACCCCATCCCCCCATATTTGTCAACCTTCTCAAATCCTATACAAAAAAAAAAAAAAAAAAAAAAACCAAAAAAATCCTTAAAAAAAAAATTTCTTTTAACGTTTATTTATTTTTCAGAGACGAAGAAAGACAGAGTGAGCAGGGGAGGGGCAGAGGGAGAGAGGGAGATATAGAATCCCAAGCAGGCTCCAGGCTCCGAGCTGTCCGCACAGAGCCCCACGCAGGGCTCGAACTCACAGCCGTATTTGAGCGCACCGTACTTTACTCACCTCTCTACACTGATCCTTTGCAGGTTCCCCGTGTCTTAGGCATCTTCGTGTCCTGTCTCCAGGTGGCCTCCGTGAAGGCTGCTCCGTTTTAATTCGCCGCACTCTGTCACCAATGGCTTTGGATTCAGCTGTCTTCACCTAGAGCTGGACATCGCGGGGCGTGGAAGTGAAGCCAGGCCCCAGGTCCTAACACACACACGGGGAGGAACCGCTGTCCAGATTTATAACGTGGGCTGGCAATTCTCTCTAAATGTTTAATCTTGAAATCATTTGTTACATCACCCCTGAAAACAGCTGCTGCCAGTCAAGAGGTGCGCTAACTAAATCATCTCTGGAAGGCCACTGCAGGCCCCGCCACACCCGAAGTTCCGTAACCCCCTTGGTCCCACCAGTTTATAGTGGAGCGGGATCTGTGAAAACCGGATTCCAGACACTAGCCCAACAGCCTTGTTCCCGAACATCCCTGGCCTAAGGAGCTATCAAGGTTAGAAAGATCTGATCAAGGTGCGAGGAGAGCCATCCAGAGGCTTTTTCCTCCGAGACGCCTTCCTCAGCGGGGCCTGGGCCCCTTCAGCGTCTTCAAAGGGAAGGCGGAGGTGTCCTTCAACCGCCTTGGAGGCTGCCCTACTGGGGAATCCTGACCCTGTCCTCCCTGTGATTTCGTCGAGTGCCGTGGGACAAGACGGCCTCCACAAGAAACCCTCCCGGGCGGGCCTTCCCACCTACCTCTTGCAGCCCGACCATCTTGGCTCAGCCCTCAAGTCCCTCGAGACGTAGCCTCCCGCCCAAAGCGCTCCTCCCCCTGTGATTGGCCGCCTGAGGAGCCTTCGGCCAATGGGGATGACGTATTCAGGCAGACGTCAGCCCGCGGGCTGGGGGAGGAGGAAGGACGTCGGGCCCCGCGACGCGCCGTGCGCGAGGGCCACAGCGCGAGGTGTGTGGCGCTGGCCGCGTGACCTCAGGCCCTGGCTGTCACCACCTGCCGGTGCATGAGGGTGCCGGTCCCGCAGCGGTACGAGGGCACCAGGGAGTGGCTGCAAAGCTCGTGTGGCCGGAGGTGGTGGTGAGGGCGAGCCCTGAATTCGGGCCTCCGGGAGCCTCACGCTCCATTCCCAGAAACCTTTGCGCCTAGAGGTCTGTCTTCAAAGGAGTTGGGCCGGGGCGCCCAGAGCGTGAGGGGCGCCCAGCCTTGCAGGGCCTGCTGTGAAGCCCTGCTTTTCCCGCCAACCCCGATTCCTTGCTTCTGGACGCGGAGTGTAACCCTCAGGCTGTGGGCCCACCTGTGCCGCTCTGCTACCCCTCCCCCACGCAAGGCTCGACTTTGGGAGGAAGCAAGGCAGGCTGGACAGAGGACCCGAGCACCAAGAGGACGCCAAGAGCAACTTCTGCAGAGCTATTCCAGGTCGGGTCTGGGGGCCAGGCGGGGGGCTTGGTGGATCGGGAAGCTTCCCCAGAGCCTATGTTTGGGACCTTGCAAGAGCTGCCATCCTCCGCCCCTTTCAGCTCTCCGGCTGAAATTGGCATGGAGCCTACCCTTTCTGAATTCACCTCTCCGTCCCCTTCTTTCCTGATAGTTTGACGGGAACCGTTCAGAGCCGTCGGTGCCACCTGACAGAAAACTGCATGCCAGGAAAGGAACGCCAGCTGTGCAGTGAGTGTGGGGGTTTCAGTGCAAAAAGCTGGAAATGGAGTGAGCCTGAAGTCAGAATAGCCAGCTTGTTTCGGGAAGGGAAGGATGCTTAATTATCCTTGCTCCGTTGTTAGCCAGGTGATTAACCAGACTGACAAACCGAACGGCCAAATCCTTTGCCAGTTTCCAGGCCGCGTGAGGCTCGCTTTGGTCAAGAACATCTGAAGCAAGGGTGGCAACGTCCTTATTTCTTTCTGTGAGAGACCTTCCCACGGAGTCCAGCACCTGCTTTTCTTTACTGTGCACCCTCTGCTGGTTAGTGTGATAGAGTGAGCTCAAAAAGAAAAGAAGGTTGTATACAACCTCCTAGAGAATTTTATGTTCTATATTGTTTCTTTAAAAGTGTTAAATTGGGGACTATACCCATGGAACTCAGAAGTGTGGTGCTCGGGAAGAATAGGAGTTGTCAGCATTATTGGTGTTGAGTCTCAGTGGTAACGTGAATGAAGAAGGTTTAAGCATAATGGTAATAGCTACCTTTTTTTTTTTTTTTTTAAGTTTATCTGTTTATTTTGAAAAAGAGAGAGAACAGGGGCAGGGCAGAGAGAATCCCGAGCAGGCTCTGCACTGTCAGCACAGAGCCCGACACGAAGCTCAAACTCACAAACCATGAGATCATGACCTGAGCCGAAATCAAGAGTCAGATGCTTAACCAACTGAGCCACCCAGGTGCCCCAACCACAGCTACCGTTTTGGAAGTGATAGTTGTTATGTGCCAGGCACTCACAGTACTAAGCAATTTTACCTGCATTGACTCATTTAACCCGTAAAACAGCCCTACCAGGTAAGTACTGTTATCATTACCATTTCATAGATGAGAAAAGTGAGGCTCAGAAAAGTTAGGTCAATTGCCTGAGATTATACAGCTAGGCTAATACATAACAGAACTAAGATTCAAATGTGCACATGCTTCTGAGCTCCTACATGTAACCACTATGAAATTCTTTGTTGAGATACCCTTGGCACAATTTCTGGGCTTATGGTAACTCGACTCACGGCTATTCTCTCTCACTTTCAAAATTTCCTTGTCATTTCAAAGACAAAAAGCAAATTAGGTGCAGCCATTCCTCTGAAATGTACTATCTCGTCCACAGGAATCTGATCTTTGAAAACGTAGGTTAAGAGACCAACATGTGCTCTCCTGCCAGTTCCAAAATCCTATATAGGAATCCCCGGTTTCTGCGGTTGGCTTTTGTGCAGCTTCATCACCAGCAACAGAGTGGTGTGTTCTGTGATGTCCTTCTGCAGGCAGAAGGTAAGAGACTGGTGGGGACCCGCTTGAAAAGCCACTCAATATAGGATACTCACGATGGAATAAGATAAAATGAGTTCAGGGCCAGGGAGTAGAGCACAAAACCAAGAAAAGGTATTATCATCACCTTTGAGTATTGTACATTATTTGGTAAAGAACTGTTTGGGGCGCCTGGGTGGCGCAGTCGGTTGAGCGTCCGACTTCAGCCAGGTCACGATCTCGCGGTCCGTGAGTTCGAGCCCCGCGTCAGGCTCTGGGCTGATGGCTCGGAGCCTGGAGCCTGTTTCCGATTCTGTGTCTCCCTGTCTCTCTGCCCCTCCCCCGTTCATGCTCTGTCTCTCTCTGTCCCAAAAATAAATAAACGTTGAAAAAAAAATTAAAAAAAAAAAAAAGAACTGTTTGTTTCGAGGACAGTTGGCTGTTTTCAAGAATGAATAGGAGACTGTGCTCTTTTTCTTTTAAATCGTGAAACTAATTGTAAAGTTTAGTAAGCCTAGAAATTCTGTAAAAGATGGATAATATTGTAAGAGGATGATTGTGAAGATGGAGTTAACATACAGCGCTCAGAACGGTGTTCTTCATGAATTGAGCACAATGTAAGTGTTAAATAATACTGTTACTTATTTTCCCATTTTCTCGTCAAGCTGCTGCTTTACTTTTCTCATCTTAAAATTGGTGGGTTTTGTTGTTTGTTGTTAGACCTAAAAATAGTTAATTTCCACTCCTTCCCTTTACACTTACAATGGTCGAGCAGCATGAAGTAGAGCCTGGAATCATGTAAAAGGCCCAACACTAGGAATCAGAGTTTTAGTTTTGTTTGTTTGTTTGTTTTAATTTTTTTTTCAACATTTATTTATTTTTGGGACAGAGAGAGACAGAGCATGAATGGGGGAGGGGCAGAGAGAGAGGGAGACACAGAATCGGAAACAGGCTCCAGGCTCTGAGCCATCAGCCCAGAGCCTGACGCGGGGCTCGAACTCACGGACCGCGAGATCGTGCCCTGGCTGAAGTCGGACGCTTAACCGACTGCGCCACCCAGGCGCCCCTAGTTTTTTTTTTTTAAGTCTTAGTTTTGTTACTCAGTAACAAAGTGGCAAATGGGCAAGTAAGTCCCACTCCTCTCTCGGGAGCTCAGTTTCTTCATTTATAAAAAAGGATTATGAGGGATGCCTGGGTGGCTCAGTCGGTTGGGCATCCAACTTCTGCTCAGGTCATGATCTCACGGTCTGTGAGTTCGAGCCCCGCGTCGGGCTCTGTGCTGACAGCTCAGAGCCTGAAGCCTGCTTCAGATTCTGTGTCTCCCTCTCTCTCTGACCCTCCCCCGTTCATGCTCTGTCTCTCTCTGTCTCAAAAATAAACGTTAAAAAAAAAAAATTATGACAACCAACATTGTGTAGCACTCTACAGTTTGCAGAGTACATCCAGTATAGTGTCTCATTTGATTCTTAAGACAGCCTTATGAGGTAAAATATTATGTGGTTCCAATCTTAAAGATGAGCGAATCAAGGCCTAGAGAGTTAAGCGACTTGCCTGTTGGTTCTCTTAGTAAGCACAGAATTGGGATTCATTCCTTAATTCATACTAAAAAACACAATTGCCTGTTGTATACTAGAACAGTGTACTAGCATGGGCATATAGTATATATGAAGATAAAGTCCCTCTTTGTACAAAAATCATGTAAAGGGGAGACCTTCGGATAACCAGTGCATCCAAGTAACTGTGCAGTATAGGAGTAAGTAAAGGATGATGGAGGAGCACATGAGAGGGGTACCTTCCCAGACTTGAGGTTCGGGGACAGTGGTTAGGGAGATTTTCTTGGAGAAAATAACCCCTCAGCTGAGATCTGGAGGACAAACAAGTAGAAGGAAGTGAGGAAAGATTTCCCCAGGCATGGAGAACAGCATGTACATAGATGTGACCAGGGATTTGCGAGTGGTTCACTATGGCTAGAGTGCAGACTGCAAGCGTATTGATCAGAGATATGGCTAGAGAATTAGCAATGTAAGGTCTGAAGTGTTATGCAAAGGAAGCAAGTCTTGTCCTCAGAACATTGGAAAATGTATTCATCGGTTTTCAGAAGAAGGTCATGATCATGTAAAAGGCCCAAGCTTTAGAAATAACACTTGGGCTGCATGAGAAGAATTATTGGATTGTTGTTGAGCCCAGATAGAGGGCTATTTTGGAATCCAAGAGAAGGAATGGTGGCCTAAACTAAGGCATTGAGAATAGAAATGTATGGTTTATAATCAGAAAGAATTTACAAAACTTGCTGCAGTTAAGGGCATAGGCTCTGTAGACAAATTCCCTGGATTCAAATCCTCTCCCTGTGACTTGCTAACCATGTAATTGTGGTGGGCATATTACTTAGCTATGCCACAGTTTACTCATCTGTAAGAACAGCTGCTTCACAGGATTCCAGTGAAGATCGAATAAATGAATACTGGTAAAACCCTTACTTAGTACATTATATGGCATGCAAGAAGGACTCAAGAAATAGTTGCTTTTTAAACAAAATTAATGTTTGGGGGTGCCCGGCTGGCTCAGTCAGTAGGGCATGTGACTCTTGATCTCAGGGTTGTAAATTCAAGCCCCATGTTGGGAGATTACTAAAATATATGTATTTATCTATAGATCTATGTATATCTCTCTATACAGAGATATATTTAAAATAAATAAAAATAAATTTAATATGTTTGATTAGATACAATGAGTAAAGGAGAACAACGACTTCTAGTTTTCAGGCTTGGGAGAAAAGTGCATACTTATTCTGAAGTAAGAAACGGGAGGTTTTGGGGTTGAGGAATGGAGTTCACCTTCTAGAAAGGTTGATGCAGGTTATGGCATGTTCAGTGTCTTGGGAAAGGTATCTAGGCAGAGGTAGGACCTGGGAGTCAGCATCAAGCCTTTGGAAACTGAAGTCATGAGAGATACCAACTAAGATTGACAGGGAAGTGCCCATAAAGAAGGTGGCTCACAATAGACAACTGCCTGGTAGGCAGTGCCTAAGAGGTCAGGAGAGAAATGAACCCTGGTTATATGCATCCAAAGCTCATATTCTGTTAGACCACAAGCAGCTTCTGTAAAAAAATTTTAATTCTTGTGAGTCAAAAATTTGATGCCCTCCTTTGTGTGAAGCAGTGGGTATATCTTAGCGAACAAGATAGATATGGTCTCTGTCCTCAGAGTTTCACTTTAGTGAAGGAGATGGATGGTTCTAACACTGATAGCTAAGTGCTCTGATAGCTAGAGTACCTCTCTGTGCCCGGGAGCAGCTAACCTAGACTGGAAGTGGGGTGGGGAAAGGCTTTCTGGAAGAAGTGATGTCTAAACTAGATTTTGAAGGATAAAAAGTGAGTTAACTAGGTAATGTCAGAAGGTTCCAGACAAACAGAAGGAACAGACTTCTAGTTGAACTTCCACGGAAGGAAGTTGAAAGGAGCAGCACGTTTGGGTAGTAAAGACTCTGCTTAGCCTGTGAACATGCCAGTTTGCAGGAAATAACAAAAGTGTTTGGATTTCCTTCCAGGTGAGGCAGTTCCAGCCCATTGCTGCATCCTGTCAGCCTGCAGCCCCTTCTTCACAGAGCGCCTGCAGCGGGAGAGGCCAGCTCAGGGTCGGAAGGTGGTCCTGGAGTTGGGGGGCTTGAAGATCAGGACACTCAGGAAGCTGGTGGACTTCTTGTATACCTCAGAGATGGAAGTATCTCGAGAAGAAGCCCAGGATGTGCTTTCTGCTGCCCGTCAGCTCCGTGTCTCTGAGCTAGAATCCCTTCAGCTAGAGGGTGGCAAGTTGGTGAAGGCCCCCCCGGGCCGAAGACTGAACCGGGAGTGCTTACAACCTCCAAGTCCTGCACCAATCTCTGCCAGGGTGGTGGCATCCACCCGCCGCCCTCGGACTCCACTGCCTGTGACCCAGACTCCTTGTCCTCTTGGACTAGTGAGACTGAAGTCCTTGGGAAAGGAGGAGGGACCCCTGGAGAAAAGCAACCAACAGAACACAGAGAACTCATCTGGCAATCTTCTGCTCAAGAGGAAGGCCAGAGCTTGCCCAACTCCACAAGAAAAAAGCTCTTCACCATCAAGCCACAGTCAGGGACCTAAAGAGAACAAGAGCGACTCTGCCCTTGCTCCTACAGCAGTTTCCCCGCCTGGTATGTACCCCTCTGTGGATGAGCGACTATTGCCCAGAAAGATCAGATTGAGTCGCTCAAAACCATCTCCTGATGTCTGTACACCCAAGCCTTCCAGCACTGTGAGTGGACCCAGCTCAGTACCGACAGCCCCTGGCCGGCGTCTCTGGCGGCAGAAGAGTATAAATAAAGGACCAGAAGACAAGGAGAAGCCAGGGAGAGCCAGTCCTCTCCAAAGCATCCCAAGCCCATCTGGTCTTGGAAACACAGGTGGGAACAAGAAGCGGAGCCCTGAAGTCAGGGCACAAAACTCAGACTCTGCAGAGGAGGGGCAGGTTGGAAGGGTGAAACTTCGGAAGATTGTCAACGGGACGTGCTGGGAAGTGGTACAAGAGCCTCCCCTCAAAAACTCTCAAGAGAGCCCTCAGATCCCAGAACCTGAATGCTCGGAAGAGCCTTCAGGGACGCAGCCATCCTCCATGAACCAGCAGGAAACGTTATCTGCCAGAGTAGATCGGTGTCAGGACTCCCCCGTGTGCTCCAGGCTACAAGATCTCCTGCTCTCTGCTAGCCACTCCCCAGACCACCCAGTGGCAAAGTCTGAGTTTGGGTCCAGTCCAGAGCCGGTAGGGAAGGAGCCCGGGTTGGATATGGACTGCGGAGAGCACTACGCGTTTGACGCAGCCCTGCTGGGGCAGCCGTGCGAGGCTGAGGAGTACCGCATCACCAGTGCCGCTGCCACCAGTGAGCTGGAGGAGATCCTGGACTTCATGCTCTGTGGCTCAGACATTGAGCCCCGCACAGGGTCTCTGGAGAGTCCTGGAGCCGAGGGCTGCAGGACCCCTAATTATCACCTGGCAGATACAGGAAAGAACTGGATCGAAGGGGAGGAATGGTGTCTGCCAGACGTGGAACTCTGGCCCAGGGAGCTCACAGGATTGGAAAAGGAACCTGTTGGGGAGAACAAAGAGCCAACAGAGCCCTTTAGCCCCCTTGTCGTGCCCTCTGAGAACAAAGAGCCAGATGAGTCCCTCAGCCCCCTTGTCATGCCCTCTGAGGTGAGTGAAGAGGGGGTACTTTCAGTAGGAAGCCCTTGGACTCCGGATCTGGAAATTACCAGTTCCCAGCCACTGGATGGTCAGAGAGAGAAGCTTCTCCACATTGACTCTCTCGACGTTCCTCAAAGGTCCTATGAGGATCTCTCACCCCCCTGTTCAAACTGGATGGAAGCTAGGCCAGAAGTGTCCCTAAGTATGGATGAGGTATTATACCCTGCTCCAGAGGCAGGCAAGGAGGAACTTGGCAACTCCGGATTGTTGGACCCACTTCCTGCCAGCTCGGAAGAGGAAGAGATTGATGTTGTGGACTGGACGTCAGAGGGGAGGCTGGTGCCCACGGGTATTCCTTCTGTGTGGCCCGACCCTTCCTCAGAGTCAGACACAGAGGTAGACATACTAACATAGAACAGGTAGTGCAGGTTAGCGGCAGGGGGAGGGTGGGAAATGTTGACTAGCAAAAGGTGTATTGGTAGAGGCTAGCACGTGCCCTGTCCCCTTAGCAGGAGAGGCGGGTGTACTCCCAGCTCTTGGTCAGTCCCTTCCTCTCCTCCCCAGGCTTCGGGAGCCAAGCAGAAGTAGTACCATGGGTACAGAATTATGAACCTGAACCATCTTATTTCTTTGTAATCTATTTTCCAGTTAGTGATAAGTCAAACTATAAACTGTGTGGTCCCCAAATCTACTAGGTCATAAATAACCAACGCCAGGTATCCTAAGTCATAAGACCTCTAGTCACTGCTAATTTAATAATAAATGAGAAAAAACACCCTCTGAAACAAAGCGTTTCAGAAGGTTCGAAACAGTGCTGAGGTGGGACAACTGGGTAAGAGTGACAGAACATTTTCCAGTACCTACTGTGGGTCTTATTCAATCCATTATTGAAGTTCCAGTCAAACCTCTGCAGGGGCCAAAAAGATAGAACTCCCATCATCACTTCGAAGAAGTGAGTTAAAAAGAAATACATGCTTTTAAAAAAAATAAATTTACTTTTTTCCCATAGTTTTTGCAAGTATTTCACATGCTGTGCCAGACAGCCTAGGAGCTCCAGGATAATTGGTGACCTTAGAATATGAAAAATAGAAAGGGAGCCAATCCCACAAAAGGCTGAGCTCTGTCCATCTAATACCATAACATCAAGTTATTACTCAAATACTTTGTTTCAATTTTTATTAGGCAAACCAAATCCAAGAACTTTTCAGTGCCTTACTAGAGGGCTGCCTCACAACTGAACCATCATTTCTGGAGGGGAAGAAACCAGGGCTTCAGGCACATGACTGAAATTTGGCCATGTCCCGTCATAAATGCTCCAAACGTCACCAGGGACCGAAGGCTGTGAACATGAGAAGGGAAAAAAGGGTTAGAGAAGGGGCCCAGGCAATCCTAAAGCCTGAGAAAGATGTGTCCCCCACCCTGGAGCCCACAAACCCAGGAGAGTTCAAGGATTGCATCCTACCGCCACATTTCACTCAGCTCATCAGTCAGCTGTCAGTGCCTGACAACATGCAGGAGCATTAGGGATAAAAAACCAGTCAGATCCTTGGGCCAGGAGTGACAGTACAGTGGTTCTCCCACGGGATCAAGAGAAGGACAACCGCATCTTCCAAGGGCACAAATTGCACTTCTATAGGGTCATTTACATTACCATCAGCATCCTACGACTTAGCTCAAGGACAGTGAAACGTGCAGTTTAGCCAAAAGCACACTGATAAGAAACAATTTTATTGCCGACTTCTCTAGCTTTCCTATCAGTAATAAGGGGACATCCTGAGAGCAAGAAGAGTTACGAGTGGTAGATCCCGTGTGATATGGGGTAGAGGGAGGGCTGCTTCGCAAAGAGCCACAATCCACCCCTCCCGCCCCCTTCAAACCTCAGCGTGAGGACTTCTGCTCAAAACACCCTACGAGAGGTACTTCTTCAGCTCCTTCACCACCTCTTGAGGCTCAGGGAACTTGAGTTTGCGTGGGGGCCCCTTCTTAATCCCAGTCCAGAGCTCCACACCTGGGAAAAGACCGAGAGCGAAGTCACTCGGTCGTGCACCAGCCTCTCCCCCACATCCCGAGGGCCGGCGGTCTGAGACCGGCGCTTCCCGCCTGCCCCCGGTCCCGGGCGCCCACTCACTGCTGCCGTCCGGGCGCAGCAGCGTCACCTCGAAGCTGCCCCTCCGAGGCCTGGCAGGATTCACTTCCACCGGAAGCTCCGGGGTGTCCAGGCGCAGCGCCTGGCTCAGGGCCGCGGCGTTGCGCCCGTAGACGCGTCAGCTCGTGCTAGGGAGAGACGGGGAAGCTCAGAGGCCGGGGCCTTGGTGTGCCCTGGCCCGCCTCCCCGTGCCTCTCCAGGCCCCTCACCAATGCTCGATCACGACGGTCGCCTCCTCCACTCTCTTCCGGTCGCCCGCCGGCTTCTCCCGCTTCTCCGCCGCCGCGACCACCTCCGCTTCGGCCTTCCGCTTCCTGCCGCGGGAAGCCATGGAGCCGGGAGCCGGGCCGACCTGGGGGGAATAGGGTGGAGACTCGGGCACCAAGGGGGGGCGAGGACTCCGGCCGGAGCCGCTCTAGCCCCAAACCACAGTCCAGAAAACCCGCCGCCAGGACCAAGCCCCTCCCTCGCTGCGGAAAGCGTGGCCGGGGCGCACACGTGGCCTGGAGGCGGGTTCTCTGGGCACAACCACTCAGCCCGCGGCCTGGGGGTGGGGGTGGGGCCCTGGGCGCAACCACCCAGCTGGAGCCCGGAGGGGGGGGGCTCCCTGGGCACAACCATTCTGCTCACGGTCGGGGCTGGGGAAGGGGAAAAAGTTCCCTGGGCACAACCACTGCCCGCGGAGGGGGGTAAGGTACAGGCAGCCCCCGACGGAGCCACCGCACTTCGGGAGGATCGCCGACTAGGTAGCTCTGAAAACAAGCCGGGCTTCGCACAGGCCTTTCTGTAACCATCCGTCCGGCTAAAGAGCGTGCCCCACGCCCCCCCGCCCCCCACCCCCCACGCCCCACGCCCCACGCCCCACCACCTCCTTGGGAACCCGCGCACCAATCCCAAACAAAACCCACAAACTAACTTGGCGAGGTCAGGACTCTAAGATTACGGAAACTAGTCTTCCCCAACTCTCCCGGATCCTGGGAACCAATGCCAGGCAGGTGAGGTACACACTTCCTCTGCAGTTGCCAGGCCTTTCTAATAGGCTAGGAACACACAAAGGCGCAATCAAAAGGAAATCCCAGTCTTTATTATTGAAAACCATCAACTGGGTGTTGGGAGTAGGTAGGAGACTAAGTGAAACCTCATACCTGCCCAAGGGCGGCTTTCTCCTGAGCCCCACCATACAAAGGAACGTCTCAAACCTATTCCCTTTCCTCCCAAACTCCAAAAATTAGGGGGATTATTCAAAACTATCTCCAATGAGTAAGCTCAGTGGTTAAAGGTTTCTCCTGGGGACCAATGACAAAGTTAGCCTTATTAATGAAGGCCACAGACCAAGCCAGAAATGCCTAAAGAAGTAAGGGTCCTTGAGGGAAAAATCCTAGTGCAGACTCCATACCTAGGCATTTTCTGTTAGGCTTAATATAATCTAGGCAGACTGTGCAGGTCCACTAAGAGGAAGGATGAAAACACCGCACGGTGGAGACATGTGAGTGGTGGACAGCAGCTGATACTCGGACCCAAGCTTGGAAGGCAAGCATTTCCTCCTCCATCATCAGAGATCTCTCCCTCCTTCCAGTGAAAGTTGGCCACAGCAGTGGAGGCCTTCCCGGAGGGTGCCTGTCAATTCCCTGAAAGCCTCTTTAAAATCAGAAGCAGCACCCTGCCTGACTGAGGCAGAGCCAAAGGGGAAACATAAATAAGAGGCCCAGGCCTCAGGCAGGGCCTGTGGTTACAGAAGGGGCAGGGCCTCAAAGGTGGCAGGGCCTCAAAGGTGAGGAAGCACTGAGAAGGCAGGGATTCTATTTGTCCTTCTTGCTTTCCCCCTCTGGCACTTCCGTGGTGGTTGGGGCCACAGGCTGCTCCTCAGGGATGTGATCTCCAGCCTTTGATAGCTTCTTGGCCCTTTGATACAGCTCATTCAGGTTGAATTCTCGGATCACATTCTCCTGCGCAAAAGAGGTGCACACATTAGGGTTCCAGTTGGAAAGGAGAGTTCTTACTAGGAAGTCAGAAATATTTAAACACAGTGTAGGAGAGAAGGAAGGAGAGGACAGAACCAACTCTAACCTAACTCTCCCTTTCTGGGTACTGGAAAAGTCAACCCTGTACAGTTAGTTAAGTACCTGTTATGTGGCCATCACTGTACCAAGAATTACAGCTACACTTGTACTCTATGAAACAACCCTGTGATCCACAGGCCTACAGACTGGGTACGAGGGCCTTTGAGACTGAATCGTAACTAATAACCGTTCCCCAGTACTAGCAATTCTGGCACATGGGAGAAGCACAACAAATTTGCTGAATAAATTCAGGAATTAAATCTGGTAACGAGTGCCCTCTCTCAAAACTAGGGGGCATGTGGCAGAGCCAGGAATCAGAGTGGAGCTCCAAAGCCTACCACTGTTCCACACCCTTCTCCAAACCGTTCGCTCACTCTTTCAGATACCTCAGAGAAGGTCCAAGAGACAGCTCGTCCCTTTTTGTCAATCTGGGGCCGCCGCATGACCTCCTTGCCACCTTGGAATAGGATCAGAGTAGGGAGTTGCTTGGTAAGGGGCGACGTGCTCACTTTGTACCTACAGGGCCCAGAAAGTACTCTGTAAATGCATCTGTCTACGTCACTTAAAGTGATTTATTGCTCAGACCCTCTGTCCAGGCCTTTACATACCGTGTACTAACATCAGTGTAGCGTCCAACGTCCACCTTCCCAAAATTTAGCCCTGTACAGTTGTACCTGAGAAAAATACATTATTTAACATAGTGAAAGAAGGGAATGAATCAAGGGAAGAAGTCCACATACTTGGGGAGGGGGGAGAAACGCCGTTAGCTGGGGCACCTGGGTGGCTCGCTCAGTGGGTTGAGTAACTGACTCTTGGTCTCTGCTCAGGTCATGATCTCTCAGTTCGTGAGTTCGAGCCCCCCATCGGGCTTTGTGCCACCATGCGGAGCCTGCATGGGATTCCCTCTCTCTCCCCCCCATCTCTTGCTTGTCCCCTACTTGTGTGTGTGCATGCTTTCTCTCTCAAAATAAATGAGTTAACTTAAAAAAAAAAAAAAAAAGGCTTTGGTTGCAATGTGCAAAAATCAAGGCCAGAAACAATGAGAGGGAGAGTGCAGCACCTCAGTTCCCTTCCTCCCCCACCCTCTGCAGTACTCACTTGAGGGAGAGGTCAGCATAGATAGGAGCAAACGACTGGCAGTCATTAGACCAATTGGCAAAGAACTCCACGATCCAGGTGACCCTCCTGTCCCGCTCCAGCTCTTCCTGCCACACACAGGGAAGAAACAGTGAGCTGGACCACACGGGCTCCCGGGTCTGATTCCTCCCCCTGGCTTTCCCTCTCCCCCCACCGCTCCCTAGCTCTGGTAATGAACCGCAGGGCCCTTCACTGAAGGACCATCCTGAAGCACCGTTACTCCTCCTAGCGAGGAAAAAGCACAAATACAAGGTCACCCACGAGGGACCCAAGAAACAGGAAAGAGCACTCACATCAATGGTTTTGTCATTGAAGTACTTGATGTACTCAGGGCCCATATACAGGGGGGGCTTGCACGTCATCAGGAACACTAACCAGAAAAAAGATGTCAGAGGAAACATATGAGACCTTCAGCAGGGGATTTACTTGCAAACCGACTCGAAGATTTCAGGCACCAAAGAATACACTTTGTGGACACACACAGGCCACGGACACATTTCTCTCTTCCTACAGTTTCTGTAGATTCTTCTCACCTGAGCCACACACGTAGTTCATGAGGTACAACATACAGAAGAAGGGTATGGAGAAGCCTGTTTGGGGTCGGAACTCGGGTCCCACGACCAATCTCCTTACCTATGCAAAGTGTGATGTAAAGCAGGCCCA